TCTTCCAAGTCCGGAGGGAATACAGAGGTCGCACCTAGGGTGTTGACCTCTCCTTTCCGTCCGGACATGGTTGATATCATTTCAGATAGCTGTGTACTCAGGGTGCAGATCTCAGACATTTTTGTATTTAACAAATTGATCTGTTCACCCTGCTCCTCAACTATCTGATAGATATGGCGACGTTTCTTCTTGCTTTTTATGTGGCTGGGTTTAGGTTTCTTCTTCTCTTTTACATAATCTATTTCTAGATCAGAGTCAGAGCTTGAAGTGTCCTGGTTTCCTGCAATATCGTCAGAGGTGTCCGGGCTGGATTTTTCTACCTTATTAACGTTCTGATAACGTCCAGGTAAATTGTTCTGGGGACAATTCCTACTAAAATGACCTTTGCCATTACAATTATAGCAAATATCATCTTCTGCAGGCTGTCGACCCGGGACAGTAAATCCTTTAATCCCTTTAGTTTTATAACCAGTCTGACTTTGATATTTTCTAAACCTTCTAAAAGCTGCGATTTCATCCTCATCAATATTCTCATCCATTACATTTACTTCATATCTGCTTTTCCGCTCCTTTTCGCGGGAACTTGCAGCATTAGTGTAACTGTAGTTCATGAGACGGATGTCAGTGCCTATTGCATCTGATGCGTCAAGCTCGCCAGCAATGGTTCTGGTTTGAATGTTTTCAACTGAAACTTGTATGATTCGTCTCAGTTGATCAAACATTTCAATCTTGAACCCATTGAGCGATTGCATTGACACAAAATCTCGTGCTTTGTTTCTCAAGATTTCATTGTGTAGTCCCCTAATGCTGGACTCACAGAATTCCTTGAAAATCCTGGTTTTCCCATTAGGAAACGACCGTATAAACAGGTTGTATTTATCCCGTAAATACAGGTCGTATACTTCCCCTGCTTTTTGCGTCCTCTCTTTAAATTGAGTATAAATGAGGTCACAAGCAGAGGCGGGTTCTAACCGTTCATGGAGAGCTTGTACATATCCCTTCCTGTTCATTTTCCTGTATAGAGACATAGAAGGTTCCATATCCGACACGATAAATGAACAGGGAGGACGGAATGATTGAAATAATGTATTTTTAAAACATATTTCTCCCACTCCTAATGTACGAGCGTATCCCCCGATCTGTACCACATAATCCTCAAAACTATCTTGTCCGTCAAAACTCCATTTAGTTTTGGCGAACAAGATTTCGTTTTGGGTAGGTACATAACGGTCTTCTTCCTCTATTCCTAGGGGTTCCAGTCTATCCAGCACGGAGAACTTCCCTTCCTTCGATGCAAGATCAACGACAGAAGGGTCATTCCGCGCTAGATTTGGAGGGGGAGCAGGTAAATCCTGGGGGTTCTGTCCGGAGGTGCGTCTGCTACCTCCATTCTGAACCCTCCGTTCATGCTCTACTCCATTCCTCCCACCTCCTCTCTCAGCAGGTGGTCCTCCATTAGCGTTATATGCTGTCTGGAGGCTACCTATTGCTTGTAGAGTAGGGTCCGGAACTCCTCCTTCAGCCTGCAGTACTCCTGCTACGGGGGGAGTAACATCTTCTCCCGCTCCGGCGGAGGTTCCAGCTGGCTGGAGGTTAGGATTATTCTCATCTCCAGGCATTGTTAAAGATTAGTTAATTAGTCAACCTTTAACACTGCCCTGAGTATAACTTTCTTGAGAATATTTAGAGGGTGGGATTTATACTGTTTTTATCCTTAATTCAATTGAACTCGGGACGTTACAGTTTTAAACTTAATTCCTTAGAACTCAGTTTATATATAAGTATTCACAGAGATTTGGTGTAACCCAAGTGAATTTTGAGTTACAGGGATTCGTTAGAATCCAAGTAACTGTTAATCTTTAATTCCGTAGAACTTGAGATTATTGAATATTAGCTACAGGGATTCGTTAGAACCCAAGTAACTGTTAATCTTTAATTCCGTAGAACTTGAGATTATTGAATATTAGCTACAGGGATTCGGTAGAACCCAAGTAACTTTAAAATTGAAATAACTGTTTTAACTCACTCTTTACTCTAGGATGAAGTGGTTGAGAACTTCTATCTACCCTACGCTATAGGTACTTAACTATTCTTACAGAGTAACTAAAGTCCGTCTGTCCAAATATTTTAAGTCCGGGGTATACCTGAAGCTCTTTTCTTCTTATCCTGGTTGTCTGTAGACTGAGTTTTAGCCATTCTTTATCTTGAATGTTTATCCCTTGGTTTAGTGCAGTGTTATGGGTTTGAAACAGAGTATAGTGTAGATCTTGCTCCTATTGGCGGATAAGATGCTGCACCTCTGTTGCGGCCGGATAATCCCGTACACTATTGGTCGGTACAGTTTCTACGCGCAACCCTGCACATGTGTTCTGGGGGGTGAGAAGGGGGGTTGACCCCTTCAACCCTGGGATAAACCCCAAGCCAAGACTGGCCCCTATTATTTATTGTTATAGTCCAGCTTGGCTTCTGTTTTAGAATTTAGCACGTTTTTCAACAGTCATTCAACTAAATTATTTTTCAGATATTGAGGCCAAAATAGTTCAGGGTTCAATATCCAATATAGTTAAATTTATTGCTTTACACATCCCCCATACTCTCCCTCACACTCCCTTGAGGGGGCATCTCTCTCTCTGCCAGTACAACTGTATTATACTATGTACTGTGTACTACATGATGTGTACTATGTACTATGTACCGTATACGTTTACATATGTATTCAAGAATGTAGAATTAACAATATGTAATTAATTTCTGCTTAAACGCATTTTGTTAATTTAAAACGCGTTTTCAGCATATTAGTTGTTAGCATGGCAAAATAAAGAATGTAGATAAAATTCGTTTGAAATTTACTTAATCAACAATTTTCTAATTTCAACTGTTGTATTCAATCTCAATTTTACACATTACATTCATAAGAGAATAATGGGTGGGGGGGNAGAGTCCGTTGCCCAATTTGAACAGTCAGAATGTTTAAATATTTTCTAACCATTACGAAGCAATTTATGAGACTTAAACCCAAACAAGCTTTATATTTGAAAGTTTTAAAACTTTATTGCACACTCTGTGTAATTGCATTCTATCCCCCAAACTCTTCAAATTATAAAGGTTGAGGGTTGCAAACAGAGGAGGGGGTGTAGGTTTCGATTTTTAAGTTCTTTATTAAAAATTCAGATTTAAAAGAAAACCCAAATTCAGGCATAAAGAAGCACCTTTCTCTGCGCCATTTGTAGTAATGTGGAACTACATAACGTGCATTTAATCGGTATCTAAAATCTACACTTAATGAGATTTATACAAGTATCTGAACCTGTTTATATCTATCATTTGTGTAACCTGGCATTACAATATTTCAACTATCTCCATATGTTGAGATAACTGGATATCGTCTGAATGCATATACTAACTAATCCCCTGATAAAGAATAAAGCTTTGTTACATATAACTACGTTTATTAATACATTCAATACATGTTTATAAATGCATACATAATCATATGAATATTTACTATAACATTAGCTGTTAACTGTAACGTTTATCAGCCTAACATTTAAGTACTGTTTCAGTCATGACACTGAGTCTAGAGTTCAGAACTAGTATTGTTTGAAGTCCTGATATCAACTCAATATCTTTACTATCATAGGTATGCTGGTTAACCCGCTCCTGTAGTATCTGGAGCAGATCCCAAACCTGGTTAGCGAGTCTGTCCCTGATCTCCTCCATCGTGGGATCGGGGTACAGCCTGTACTCTTGCTCTGTAGCCTTCCCTGTGTCCCATACATCAACTTCAGGGACAACAGTAGGTTCAACAGGGCTAGTGTCCCCTAGGGACAATATACTCCTCAACTCCTGGTTCAATCCTTCTAAGTTCTGGATTGCTTCTCGGAGTATCTGTGGAACATCCTCCTCATGCTCATCCTCTGTATCCTGGATCAACTCCTCTATGTCCCGGATTATATCTCCAACTCCATCTACTCCTTCATCCTCTGAAGCAGGACTATTGATGATGGGAGTGTTCCCTTCTATGCAGGGAGTGAGGTCTGTTGGATCCACTCCATCTCCATCTGGTTCCAGCTCTTCTATAAAGGCAGGGTTCCTTACTATGACAGGAACACGGTTCATCTTCTTGCAACTCGTTCAATGAGGTTCTCTCTGTAAGCAGTCTGTGCACTGTATATAGCACAGGTCCCTAGACGGCCATGTGCAGGGAGACTTGTGTCTACACTGCGGCGGTCTGGGATGTACTGATCCATCTGGCTTCCTGTTGGATTCAAGGGACTGTTCACTTATATATCAAACAATCTGGAATACAACAATATATTTTCGCGGGAACTTGCAGCATTTGTGTAACTGTAGTTCATGAGACGGATGTCAGTGCCTATCGCATCTGATGCATCAAGTTTGCCAGCAATGGTTCTGGTTTGAATGTTTTCAACTGAAACTTGTATGATTCGTCTCAGTTGGTCAAACGTTTCAACCTTGAACCCATTGAGTGATTGCATTGACACAAAATCTCGTGCTTTGTTTCTCAAGATTTCATTGTGTAGTAAGGGTGAAACGTTTTTGATTTATGCCTTTCAAGTGATAAAAAGTACATGATTTAACCCTAAAAAAAAATATTATGCAAAAAAAAAATTTTTTTCCAATGCCGTTTTCATCGAATTTACAAAAATGTAATGATTATTTTAATTAACTAAGTTTGGAAGACGACATGACCGCTTCCCAACCGCTGGCCAATAGGATCGCCGGCATAACTGTGCTGACCAATCACAAGACAGGACATATACAGAAGAAATTCTCGGAAAACCGTCTGCTAGAATTAAAAACAAACTAGAAACGTATTTATTATTAGACTTTTTTGATACAAATTGGTTAAAATAATCAGTTTTTATGAGTCAAACAAAAGTTTTTTATAAACGTGGTGATTTAAAAGTTGTTATTTTGTAGAAAATTTATAGGGTGGAGGGGGGGTTTAAAGAGTATCACAGAAGGCCGGGTCTGCTAATACTTCAAAGTCTTATTCTATATTTGGTGGATTTAAAGGTTTAAATCAAGTTAAAAGAGTAGTTTTCGATTTTTTCAAATGTTTTGATTTCAGAAAGATGCCTAGGGCAAAAACAAGGACACATGCGTCCTTTTTTGATCCCCCTGGTGAAGATTTAAAAGGAAGCAGACCTCCATCTATACATGAAATTATCAAGTTTAAAAACCTAAATAAAGTATTATATCCAGAAAAAACGGAGAGGGAACTTATTAAAGTGATGCTTCCTCCAATCTTAGATATTTGGAGAAAGGTTCATCCAGCTATTCCAATAAGATCAGAGAACTCACTGACCGAACATTTAATCCAAATATTCAAGAAGTATCAGGACTGCCAAGACAAAAGATTATCAGCTAATATACGCAGAAATACAGTTGCGAGTGGGAACACAATTTTTAACTGCACTCCCTGCAAGTGCAAGCTTCCTGAATCACCCTGCATGAGGAAAAACTGTAGTACATCAGGACTTCATACACATATAAATTGTACCTGCAAGACTGACAAGGTACAGTGAGATTCATAAAACATAATCATTTCAGGATAAAATGTCATCATTGAATTCCCATGTATTATGAATTTCCATTTAAGTTCACTTATATATATACCCCCCCCTCCCCCCATCGGTTCATATTGAAAATTTAAATGAATAGTGGATAAAATATTTAAAGATAAAAATCATATTATAGAATTGCTAAAACATATCTAAATTGTTTATTTTTTTTTAGATTCCTTAAACCGAAAGAGAGTATATGAAAAACCTGTTAGCCCCTGGTGGCCCAACAAGGGAACTTGTGTTTGGAAGTGTAGATCAAAAAGAATCTAAGAAAGGTCAGATGAAGATGTCAAGGAAATATAAGAGAAAAAACGAAAGTGCTGATGATGAAGAACCAGAATTCTTGCAGTTTGAAAATGATTTGGACATGAATGATCATGATAATGATAATTTAAAAGTGTTCCATGGTAAAGTCAAGTTCAACTACAACAAGTTACTGCTCCCTACAGTAGCTCAGGAGGCCGACAGGTTTCATGCTAGTGATGCCTTAGTTGCAAGCATTGTAAATGCTACTTTAATTGATGTAGGTTTGATATCCAAAAAAGATCAAGATCTAGTCGTTACCAGAGCAAAAATTAGATTGGAAAGAAAGAAGGGAAGAAAACTGTGCATTGCAAAGAACATGGAAGAAAACTCTGGTAAACTGACTTGCTTAGGTTTTGATGGCAAAAAAACAGATACATTATGCTTCACTGAGGATAATAAGAGGAGGAAACTAGTTAAGGATCACTACTCCTTTACTAATTCTGAAGGAAAATATCTTACCCACCAAACCCTGAATGTTAGTTCAACTGGAAAAAACATAGCAAATGCAGTATTAGATGTGTTGCTAGAGTATAACAGTCTAGATGTCATAAGTGCCCTTGCCAGTGATGGAACTGTAACTAATACAGGACGACTATCTGGAGCTATTCATTTAGTTGAACTAAAACTGGAAAGAAATCTTCATTGGTTAGTTTGTCTTCTGCACTTCAATGAGCTTCCCTTGAGAGCTCTATTCTATCACCTAGATGGGACTACATCTGGTCCAAAGTCCTTTACAGGTCCTATAGGAAAACTGGTAGCTGGTGATCTGGATTCTAACCCAGGTGTTCCGTTTGCTCTCATACCAGTTGACCTTCCCTGCATGCCACAGGAAATAGTTGACGATCTCTCAACAGATCAGAGGCAGCTGTATTCTTTCTTGGTCTTGATTTCAACCGGAGTGAGACATCCTCCTGTAGACTGGAAACTTGAAAAGCTGTGCCATAGCCGTTGGTTGACTCTAGGTACCAGGATACTTGCTCTCTACACTCAAACTACAAATCCAACTTCTAAACTGACTCAGCTAGCAACATATGTAGCTCAGGTATTTATTATGATATTAATGAAAAAACATTGTTTTTCCGAATTACAGAAGTTTGGGTGAAAAATATTTATATATATTCTAGGTGTATGCCAGGTCTTGGTTTGAGATAAAGTGTAATTCAGCTTGGCAGAGTGGACCAAAGAATTTGCACTTTGTTATGCAACAAATCTTAACGCAGGCTGGCTTTAATATTTAATTCAAGTTAAATGAGGAAAAAAGACAAAGCGTATATTTCTCAAAATAATTTCATGTTGAAAGTAATAATTTTTATTTTTTATAAAGGTCTTGTTTAAGTTACAGAGACATAAGTTTCATGTTTAATAGGACTCACTGTATTTGCTAATGAATTAAAGCCTTGTTGATTAGGAGAAAGAGACAATCACAGTTGTCAAGGCTGCTGTGCAGCGCAATGCTTTTTTTGCATTTTCTGATAACATCTTAGCTGGAATGCTGGCTGACAGCAGGGAGGAAATTCGTCAGGAAGCTGTCGAAAAAATTCTTCAGATAAGAGAAGAGAAAGAAAGCTTTGATCTAGATCGAAGGGTACCAGAGCTAAACTGGAGCTCAGATCATTTCTCAAAAATGATTGACTGGGACTCTCTTTCACTGGCCCAGTTAAATGAGCCCTCCAGTACAAGGGGAATGTCCCCAGAAGAGTTAAAGACCAGAATCACAAACCCCTTGATTCTGAACAAATGGTATTGCCACACCCAATGTGTGGAACGCTCAGTCAAACTTGTTTCAGCTTCAGCTGTACATGTTTATAAAAAAGATGACCGTCATGGCGCCATTTTGGCTGGCGTAAAATCTAGGGCCAAAAGAATTAAAATCGAAACAAAAGACAGCCATGAGGTGTCAAATATTTGTGCTTTAAATGTTTTTATTGTTATCTATACAATTAATAATTTGCTTAAAGAATTTAAAAGTCAATTTTTCTAAGAAATAAAGATTGAAGCACAAATATTTGACTCCAAGAAAATGCTTGATGATTAAATACTTTGCATTATATAATAATTTTAGAGAATTTTAAAAATGCAATAAAATTATCTAGTCACTATGAAAAAGTTGAGAATGCCAAATTTTAAAACTGAAGAATATGTTTATAAGTAAGCCCCCTTCCTTATTTAAAAAGATGCTGTCTATACACGTTACAGATTAAGAATGACAGCTTGAGAAAATATATGACAGCTTCAGTACATACAGTACAATTAATGAGATTTAGGGATACTGCTTCTAGTTATAAAATTCTCAGCGGCAAAACTCATTAAGAAATGTTCAAGGCTACATTTAATAAATTCTTTCAATGTATTCTCTATTAAGGGTTTCACTGTAGGTTTTTCCTTCCTGGCCTTTCAGTATTGTTCCAGGGTGTAGCACATCACTTTTGTAAAAAAAGTTTTGATGGGACTGTCTTTTAAATATTTTAGAAGCATTTTGTGCATGCATGAGATCTCCATCATCTATTTAAAAATGGATTTAATTTAAGTGTGGTTTCTCAGGCATGTACACAGGGGGGGCAGTAGTCCTATTGCCCATCCTGGGCATCCCAAGGGGTGGCCTTGCCCGCCCCCTGGGATTTATGGGCAAAAGTTTAAATCATGTGTGGTGGGTTTAAAAAGACCTTGCCCTCATCTTCAAATTAGTGTTTTCCCCCTTTTAAAGTAGTTGTAAATTTTCTTTATTTACAAATTTAACCTTATTTGTTCCCTTTTATTTATAGCTATATGCATTATGCAAGTGTTAAGCATGTCTTCCAGCAAATACAGAGGGATACATAATAATATATGGTTTGTGGACTACAAAGGGAAGTAGTCTCAGGAAAACCTCAATACCAGAAGAGAAATGATGTGAAAAAGTAACAGGGTGTCTCAAAAAAGATGAGACTGTAAGGAAGAAGTGACCCAAGGGTCAAAACTCAATAAATATGATGATTTGATGCTTGATGGTTTATTAAATGATTAAGCACAAAAAAAAAGATAGTTTGGCCTACAAGGAACCCTGAATGCAAAAAATTGGACTAAACAAATTCCGTAATATCATCACAGAAATCTCATCTTTTGTGGGTAACACTGTAGATTTGGGAAAATACGGCCAATCCTTTAAGTGAAGAATACATTACAAAAAAAATATCTAAAAAGCAAACCTACTATTCATTGCCAAGGTCAACACAAACACTGAAAAAATCTAATTATTTTAAAACACAATGCACAGTCCCCAGCACTTAGGGGGGAGGCGCAAACCAACATTTAAACAAGCTCTCAAACCAGTTCTTTCTTTTTGTTCGAACTATACAGCTAAGAAGCTTTTGATCTGCCGTTGTGCCGTTATTGACTACTTTGTTGCGAAGATTATCCAACGTCTCCTGCTCCCTCTCCATGTCCCAAACCAGCAGACGGCCGTCTTGCTACATTTCCTCAATAGTGATTTTTGTTTTGTTTTTTACTTGAATCTTGATTTTCTCTTGGAAATCGTCAATTTATTATAACTTATTAATGTTTATTTACAGTAAAAATAATTTAAACAAAATACTCTCATTTCTTTGAATAAAAGCTTTACGACCATCAAACAAGTATTTAGAGGTACTGTGGACATAATTTCCATTTGAAGATCTTACAATGGGGACACCCTTGTAAAGGCTGTGGTACTATGTCTATGTGTGGGGGGGGGGGGGGGGGGGGGACATTGCATTGAAAACAAATATTTTATTGGTAAAAAATCCTTTAAGGTAGTTAGCTGTAGCACATTTAACTTTAAGAAAGAAGTCACTTGAGATACCATTTACAATCCCTTATAATAAACCAAAGAAATCCCCTTAAAACACTTTTAGAAATCAAAAAGTGAAAACCAAATTCCTTTGCACATTTGCTGGAAAATGACCAACACAACTTATCATGAAGAGTTGCTATCACAATGATGTCCTGAATCATATTTTATATGAAAAACAATATTATATATGAATAACAATAATTATAATTATTAATAGCCCATTGAAGAAATTTATAGTAGAAGCAACATAAATTACATCGAATTGGGGAAACAAATGATTTTATTAGGAAAATAATAGGACAAAAATATTTATAAACAATTCCAAGGTATGGGTCAGGATGGGGAGCACAATTTGTGGCTAGCTTTTCAAACCTTGAAAACTACGCCCCCCTCCAAAAAAAAAAAATTTAATATTTTTTTGTTTTGTTTTTTATCAGCGGGTTCACTTAAAACAATTTAAAAATTGACTTGATATTACAATTAACCTGACTCCATTCAAACTCCCAGTATTTGTAATGACAACACTGTTTGTTTCTTTTATGAAGCTCAGAACCGGGTGATTTCTTGATATGTCTATGTCCTAAAGCAGTTCATTTTTATTTGTGTTATCAATCTGTGTGTAAAAGAGACCATGCACATAAAGTTAACCATTAATACTTTGTATGTGTTTAAATATGACGTCTATTCTTGAAAAATAGAAATTTCAAAGACAGAGGATTTATTAGTACCTGACCTTGTTTAAATGGAGGTTCACATGAAATTATATCTGAGATTTTTTTACATTTTAAATAGTACCATGTGCTGGTGTAATTATAAATCTCTAAAGAAAGAATAAAAAAAGGATATTTTACCCTGATAAGAAGGTCGACTTCCTAACTTTTACCTATCTTAAATGGCAGATGGTTTGACCTCGACGGTCTTAGGACTATAAAAATTAATTTTTAAGATATTTTAACATTGCAGAATATCAAATCAATATCTAACAAATATTCAATGACGTCAATCATATGCATCTTCAGATACCAATCAGCAGGGTCTGATGTTATAGAAAGCGGTTTTGGGACTACCCCCCCCCCCATTGTATCTATTTTGTACATGACCCTGATTTAAATTATTTTACACCACAGTTACTGGCCCAGTCCATCAGGACAAATTGAACACAAACAATGAAGTATACAAGGCCCGAAAACCAATAAAATCCTAATTTAAAATTATTTATTTATTAACTGGCTCCATAAACTGATTGTACACTCACCTATTAGACAGCTGAGCCAGAATTTTGTCTAATTTAAAGGCGTATTTAAGATGTCCTAAATACGTCTCTATACTTTATAGTGTTTTTCCACTAGATGTCTCCCGTTAGTTATTTTCGGACAGACCGACCTACTTACGTCATGGTTAGCTCACATAATTTTGCCGTGAGTTTATTGTAGCGGAGGTACGATCTTTTGATCTTTTAGCGATCATCTGCTCAGGGAGAAAATAGAAACCCTGTCTGTAAATATCATCTATTATTAGAACGAAGCTAAGTTCAGAAATATTAATAGAAAAATGCGAAGCCAAAAACCCGATTCTTCTACCTGACGCTACTAGTTTTGGGTGGCTAGAGCACGGGTAGAATGGACATTGACCCAGGGAGTTTGATAAAGCCGGGAATTTCGAGCTGAGCCTGGCAACTCAACTGATAACCTAGATAAGAGTTAGTTGATCATCAACCCTTTCAGAAAGCAGAGGAAGTGGAATAAACACTCCCATTCTACATTGATCTTTGCTCCTATTGCTATTTGATCGTATAGTATTTGTTTTTATTTATAAGTTAATAAATTATAATCCTGCATTCTCGAAATATCATTAGTATGAGTTGTTAAGTCCAAAATATATATCCTTGAGTTTACTTTTATGATATACAACATCATTATAGATGTCAGCACCTTCACACAATACAACTTTTTAAACCCAGTGATAAATAATATTTACAATTTTAATAATCAAATTTAATTCAAAAAGTCCAATTTTTATCTGATTTTGATAAATACTAAATAAAAAATTTAATATTTAGTAGATTTATTTTACGAAAACTATGAATGCTGTTTCTTGAGAATTTAATATTTTTGAAAGTCGTCAATTAAAAGTATCCCTGAAAATTTATTCTGCAGTGTATTGAACAGCTTTCTATTTATTTTCGCCTATAGGGGTCACGCGATGTTGCAGTTTATGGTCGGACACTAAATGTTGTGGAAAATCCCATTTAGACAGTACTTAATTCCTCCGTGTATCGGACGTGATTTAGTGGAGACGTCATATGTTTGCAAAAAGTACGGATGACAAAATTCCATCTCTGTTCTAGTGGTACTCAGGTAATTACCCCTGAACATATATTCAGGCCCTGATTAGCACAGGTTACTCTATTTGCTGCCTTTACAAGTAACAGTTGCCTAAGATGTGTTCCAGTCACATTAACAGAGCATGAGGCAGCAAAGGGTCTAAAAGGGGTCCAAACCCTCATCAAATTAATCCTTACCTATCCAGTCACATTAGCCAAGGCTGAAAGATCTTTTAGTAGTCATAGAAGGCAAGATACATTGTTTCCACACATTAATTAATTAATCAAATTAAAACTTCAAAATTAATTTAAAACAAAGTAAGAACTGTTTTGATTTTGATTTGATAAGCTTTCATTGAAAACTGTTTAAATTTAAACAAAAAATAGAAACACCATGAAAACAGAAAGGCTATCTAGCCATGCAATCATGCACTCCCATCCTAGTAGATTAAAATCAATCAATAATAAAGACATTCTGAACAAGTTTTAAGCGCCAAGCCGCGCCTCCGCGCCAACTTTTAAATGGAGGAAAGAGTTGTTACTTTGTTTTTGTTTTAAAAAAAGGTTGATTTTAAAATTGAATATCTTTTAAATTTGCACGAAAACATCAAAATGTGCACTGTGCAGATACGTCGGAATCAGATATTTCAAATTTTAAGTCAACATATTCTAAATGATTCTAAATTCTAAAGTAATAGTTAATGTCATTAAAATTATATGTTTTTTTAATAGATAAAAAATGGTATGGACAAGAAAAAAAAACTTTGTTACTTCTAAATAATGTCATTTCCACATTAGATTTCTTTAAGATCTTTAACATACTACAATGACGACAAGAAAATTTAACAATAAGTAATGTCCATATTTTTTCAAAGTTTTACAGAGTAGCTTTTCTAAAGATTTAAAAAAGTAACATCTTTTTCCTCTTAGAGTAAAACTATTATTTTTTATATTACTGCCTTTTTTGTCAATGTTTGCCAGCAAACTTAATATAAAAAAGTTTAGTTAAAATAAAATAAATTCAGTTTTTTTACAGATCTTTGTAGTTAATGTAAAATGAATGACTATAATGAAGGATATAAAACAAGGTGAAAGCTGAAAGGTATGTAATGAAGCCTTTATTAGATTGAGTTTGTAAATCCCAGAAATGAGTGGAAAATGCAAATCAAACCCAATTAAAACCAATAATTTGATATACATCATGATATTTTTCTAGGGGGGGGGGGTAAAATAAATTTCCCCCCCCCCTACAGAATCCTTATCTCCGCCCCTGTGCCGAATCTTCTCATGCGTACTTTTTTTAAAACAAACCCTGTTGTTGAAAACTAAAAGAAAGCTTAGTAACAATGGCTTATGCTATGAAATCTACAATTATGGAGACATTTAGTGTCCTAAAACATGGAGTATGTGGACATACAAGTACGTTACAAGACGCCCATTATTTTGGTAAGATCCCAACTCAGATGCTGATCGGTACACAACCTACACAGGCAGACATACGGCAGGGGTCACTGTGTTGCAGCCCTTCCCCAGGACGTTGCCACTCGCCTCATAAATCTGATCCATAATCCAACTTCAGATCCCTATGCAACCCTGAGAACCCGCCTTATCCAGATGTACACTCTCAGTAATTTCCAGAGGTATCAGGCTCTCCAGAGTATCCCGGTTCTGACTGATCAAAGACCCTCAGAACTCATGGATAAAACCTGGTTTCTTTTTCTTAGGCCTGTTTATTAAGGGTGAAACATTTTTGATTTATGCCTTTCAAGTGATAAAAAGTACATTATTTAACCCTAAAAAAAAATATTATGCAAAAAAAATTTTTTTTTTCAAAGCCGTTTTCATCGAATTTACAAAAATGTAATGATTATTTTAATTAACTGAGTTTGGAAGACGACATGACCGCTGGCCAATAGGAACGCCGGCATAACTGTGCTGACCAATCACAGGACAGGACAGATACAGAAGAAACTCGGAAAACCGTCTGCTAGAATTAAACACAAACTAGAAACGTATTTATTATTAGACAAATGTTCCTCCTTGATCCTTCTTTTATCTATGTACATAAATTTTAAGATTTGAAAGTAACAATTTTAAAAACAGCAAGTATGAAGATTAGGGTAGGTTAATTTTAAACCCTAGCCTATAGCCGTGATAATTAACCTAAATCTTTTAAGAACTTAGTTAAAATGTTAAAACAAATATTTCTTTTGTTCTAAATATTATCAATTTCTTTAGTTTTCTCACTGTACAAAGTTGAATTACTGCAAGAAATTAATTTTTGCATTATTTACTTAAGAATATGATACTAATTTATATAGTGAGAACCATTAAACTCTGGAATACAAAGTGGACTTTTAGACTCAAGATTTTATTAGATAACTGAATAAATAAGTTACTTGTTAACCCATTTGCTTTGAAAAAAACATCGAAGGAACTTCAGTGTTGCTTTAATGTTGTGTCTTCAAATTTTTCATTATTCTGACTATCACTTCATAAACTGGAAACTTATACAGGGAAATTTCTTTTATCAGAGAAAAGCTATCATTAATTACCATGTGAACTCAAATTGATGCATTTCTGTGGTGACAGCTGTAAACCCTAAAATAAAAAATAATGAAGAGTTCTAAAACAATTTAACTGTAGTTCCAAATGAAATTCGAAATTTGTTTTGCCCAAAAGTGGAATTTATTTAAATGAAAGGGACAGTCATCATAATTTAACATCAAAATAAACAGTATTAATGGATATATAATTTATACTTGATTAGTTAAAGCTTTTGTATGCTACTTTATTGTATAACAAAGGGACACTTTAAGCCAAAATGAGACATTTTTTGCTGACTTGTTTAAATTTTAAGATATATCAGCAATTCAGAAACGTTAATTTGACTTTTCTTAAAACAGTTAAATCGTGATAAAATTCATCAAAAAACTACTGAAAACATGATATAATAGGAGAGTTTGGTTGGGGGAGGGGGGGGGTAGATTTTTGTTGTGCCTAGCACTTTCATTAAAACTGTTCAGTTATAAAATATGAAAGCAAGGGAGGTTGTGCTTTCAGAGGAAATCTTTCCCCCTCCCTCTTCAGAATGTATTTTATAACCCCAGACATTTGAAACAGGAAAACTTAATTATTGTATTGGTGAAAGTATATTATAAATACCTGAAAATGTCCAGGCAAACTCTTGATAAGGTGTGGAGGATTGATTCTACTTCCTCCTTCATAAACGTCTAAGCAATAATATTGCTCCATGTTCCCATGTTCCTAAATTTGAGTGACTAAAACTATAGTGTGTTCTATAAAGACTGAAGAGGGCTGCAGCTTTAAACTCGAGTTCTGATATGAAGAGTGCTGAATCCTTCATAAAATCCCAATAGGCTTCTGTGTCTTTGACAAGACTGAAAAAAAACTTAAAAGTTATGCAATTATTATAAAGACAGATAAAAGAAAGATCTTATTTCTTACTACAGTGAAACCCTTAATAAAGAATACATCGAAAGAATTTATCAAATGTCGTTTTCTAAATCTCCTGATAATAGAATGCAGCAAATATTTAGTTTTTTTTATTGAATATTTATATGGAGCTCTTTAAATCTGTCCCCACAGTCCCTGCATATTTCAAGGCTGTTTTTTTATTTTTACAAAAAAAAAGAAACAAAAAAAATTATTATTTGGGAAAAAATATTACTTTCAACAAAGAAATTTTGATATTTTTTAGTGAGCTACATTTATCCCTTTGTCAAGCATCAAGCAGCTTCCTCTGTAGGCAGCCATGACAGCTGTAAATTAATCAGTGTAAAAAAATCTTTAAACTATGCCTACTACACACTTATATATACACATAAATATAAAAACATGCGATATACTCTTTTAAAAAAGAGTTATATCATGCAGGAGTTTTTAAAGTTGGAAGAAACCAACTATAACAGTGAACGAGCAGATTTCATTAGCTCAGGACAAATATAGATTAAAGTTTGGGAATCCAGTCCCTGGTAGAAATTGTGTGTATGAACTCCTTAAAAAGTTCAAGGAGACTGGAACTCTTGAAAACCGGAAACATAAAGGAAGAAGGAGATCTGTTCGAACTCCTGAAGTCATAGACCAAGTTGAGGCTCTAGTTGCCGCTGACAGGGATGTACCGATAGATCAACCAGTTAATACACCCTACAGGAACCAGCTGAACCTCTCTAAGACCACCTGGTCCAGAATTTTGAAAGATTTTAAAGCTCCCATGCTACAAGTAATATTTGTATTGTGCTTCAGGGTTACCCTGCAAAGGATGCGACTTCAATGATGCCTTAAAACTTTAAAATTATAATGATCTGCATCTGAAGTTTGTTTTCTGCCATACATATGCATATAGTTGTTGAATAATATATTTAATGATTTAGCAATGAATAAAAATAAGTTTGCAGTTACAGGGAATCAAAAATGTTACATAAAAAACAGAGTAAATTCTGTACAGTCGTCTCTGAACCTATGTGGGTAACTAAATATATTACATTTCATACATTTTTGGGTAATTTAGCATAATTTCAAGTACCCTTTAAAGCTTTGTCTGATGAAGTATATATTAATATTTATGATTTGAAAACTGATTATGTCAAATTGGGATTTCTCTACAAAAGTGACTTGTGCATCTGCAGGGAAATATATAGGAATGATTTTAATTAAATACTTTAAATCCTTGAAATACGACCAAATTTTTTAAAATTATTAATCAGACAAAGGTTTCAAAACTTAAAAAAAAAAAAGTTAAATAATCGAATTTAAATTTTAGAGCAATCAAAACCCACAAGTTGACCATGGGAGTTCTTGACCGTGAGAGACAGTTCAACATGTGTCAAATTCTGGTCCTGAAGGATGACAATGCTTTTATTAAAACTGCATTTTTGAATGAGTCATACTTTACTCTCGGTGAGTTAATATTTGTTTTACAGAAATTGGAGAACAATGTAGTCTTATGTTTCGTGGGTTGCAGGAGGACTTAATTAAACTTGCATAATGCAGTTTTTACGCCACTGTTACTGTAATTTGACAAAATATTTGTGTGGTGTTTAAAGTGCATGTTCCATAAAACATGACAGTTGGTGAATAGTTTTTAATGTCGTCTTCCAGGTACTGTATTTGATATTAAAGATTAACCACAGTTTATTTTGTTTAAAAAATCTTTTATCTAAACTGATTTACTTTGAAATAAATTTTGATTTATATAATATGACTGCATATAATATTCTTTACTATTCTCTTGGCTATCAAATAACTTAACAAATTATGGAAGATTACCTTTGAAACTATTCACCAACTGTCATATTACTTGAGACACCCTGTAGCTTTTTTAAGAATTCAGAAGAAGCTGTAAAAAATCTGGGGGAATATTATTTATTTTAATAAATTGAACCTTTGCACTTATTTAGACGGATCTGTTAATATCGCTCACACAGTTCGCTACGCTAAATCCATGGCGCATAGAGGAAGAGGTTGAGCGGATATAACAAGTGGTTTAGTTGCCGAAAAGGAAAAGTTTCCTTCTAAGGTACACAATATTAATTTAGTTATTCAAAACTTTCTTTTATTTTATTACTATGCAAGTGAAAATGAAAAGTACAAGGTGTCTCACAAAAAAACTATATTGGCACTGAGGGAACAATTATCACAATCAAATTATAAGAAAAATTGCCAGATTTTCGAAATTTTTTTGCCCAGTTGACAAAAAATTATCTAAAAATATAGAGGCCTAGATAAAAAAAACTATGTATTCAAGGTGTACATTTTAAAGTTTTTTGTTATTTTTACATTGACATACTCAAAAATTAATTTGGTTTTTTTCAGTTGATGGTTTTTGCTGTAACATTTCAAGGACGGAATCTTGGTGTTCTTATTAAGCAGGATGGGACTCTGAATTCTAAATCCTACATCAGACATGTTAAAGTTAACTGTATACCTCAGATGAAGGCAGTGAATGGAGGGTCTCTGGATGGAGCCACCTGGCAACAGGATGGAGCATCCATCCATTGTAATCCAAATTTTCTTAACTTTTTGGATCAAGAGTTTGAAGGCAGAGTTTTGGAGAAAAGGGCAGAATGTGATGGGAGGCGAGGCCACTGTTGGGCTCTAAGATCCCAAGACCTCACAGTTTTCGACTTCGCTTTATGGCCAATCCTTAAAAGAAGAGTTTATTTGAGCCCAAGACCCAGAACCTTGGATGAGTTAGAGGCAAGAATTCAGAACGAGATTGATGAAATCTATAGAGATCCTAATTTGATCAAAAAGTGCCATATCTCGGTTAGAAAACGTGCACAGCTCTATGTTCAAAATAATGGAGGACACTTTGAAATGTTCCGATAAGTTCTGAACCTCCATAATTTTGAACAAAGAGAAGTTGATCTCTATTGTGAAATAGTGGTTTTTTTAAAAGAAAGTATGTAAGAAATAATTTTGTATACATTTTACTTAATATAAATACTTAACTTCTACAAATTGGATTGAGCAACGAGTATACAAAACAGAACAGTTACTCTGATTAAATTTATTTAATGATAAAGAAATAATTTCATTTACTTAGACATAAAAAGAAGAATGTTTATGGAAATATGTTTCTCTGTTCATCAGGGAAAGAGAACCTTGTTCTGACTTCTGGAATCACTCCACCTTTCAACCTTATTTCTCTTTTCATTATTTTTATCCAAGGCTTGTCTACACTCTCTTCATAACAGAACTCCAAAATACACTCTGAAAAAAATGTACACATTTTCTGTTCCTATTTTTTTACTTTTTGTCAAAAAGTTGATGCAATTTCAAAATGTTTACAACATCGTTAAACGCTTAAAAAGGTTAATACCATTTTTTAAAGGGTTATTATCAAATGATCATCGATGAATGATTTTTAGTTAAAGGTTTCTTCACCTATCTGCATTCCAAGCTCGCCGACGTTAGTTGGTTTTGTGGTTGGAGGAATCCTGACATCGATTTTTTTCTTTCCAAACTTAATGAACATTCCTACATAATGCTCTAGCTCATGAGCGATGTGGCCAACTATCCGTCCATGCTGGTCAACACAGGCAACACTGTACCTTTCAGGATGTTCTGACATCCAAAATTCGTCCAACTTGCATGAAAGAATATCTCCTGGATTAATTTGAATCCTGTAGACATGTAAACCACGGATGTGAGTACGTTCTAACATTTTATAGAGAGTAAACTGAAAACTGAAAAAATGTTGTGTCTAAGTCTAACGCCGAACTCTTGCTTGATAGAGAGAACTAACTAGGCATAGTAATTGGGGGGGGGGGGGAGGGTTGATTTTCATTTGACACCATGATTTTAAAAATGCAATAAAATTATCTAGTCACTATGAAAAAGTTGAGAATGCCAACTTTTAAAACTGAAGAATGTGTATATAAGTAAGCCCCCTTCCTTATTTAAAAATATGCTGTCTATACACGTTACAGATTAAGAATGACAGCTTGAGAAAATATACGACAGCTTCAGTACATACAGTACAATTACTGAGATTTAGGGATTCAATGCTTCTAGTTATAAAATTCTCAGCGGCAAAACTCATTAAGAAATGTTCAAGGCGACATTTGATAAATTCTTTCGATGTATTCTTTATTAAGGGTTTCACTGTAAAATACTATTGTAAAATACTATTGTAAAATACTATTGTACAATACTATTGTAAAATAACCAGAAACGTGAACAGTTTTAAGAAATAGTTGAATACGTATTTAAAGTTAGGTAAAAAAGTGAAATGGTTAAAATTTTGAAACAAATCTAAGGAAAGAAAAGTAACTGTCAAAACGTATTTAGCGCTATAACAGCAGTGGAGAAAATTTCTATTTACAGAAATTTTTTTATCACAAGATTTTACATGATGAACCGTTAGTAATATAGTTCAAAGAACATGCGATTCAAAGAACGGATTTTTTTTAAATTATAAAATAACGACGATTTTTTTTTAAATCATCAAAAATAAGTAATCTTTTTGAGTTTCTGTAATCTCTCATTGTTAATTCACATTTTCTGTGGATTTTCCGGAATTTCTTTTGTAAAGACGACATTTGAAGAATTTGTAGATATCTGCGAACAAATTCGTAAAAAATAAGAAATTCAATATAAGGATAAAAACAATTGATTTATTGGCAAATTTCTATTGAGAAATATGTTCCTAAACATCTAATTAGTTTACTGCAGAATTTTTGATATTTTTTTCGTCGTCATTTTTTAAAAGTTTTTAAAAAATCGATCCTTAAATGTGACCACCCAAATGGATGATTTTGAACGTCGACTTTACGCTCAAACTCAGTTATACATCATTAAAACGTTTTTTAAGTCTCAAATGAATCCTAAAAAAAATTCTCCGCAACACTAAATTCTCAGTTCAACTACAATACATCGCCGGTCACTCCCTTTAAATCCAAATTTTGGATTTGATTTTCCATTTAAAACATTGGCTCACATGCAGCAATTTGCGCACCTCTTTATCAATTGATGATTTTTCAGCTTTACATTGCTGATCTGTTTCTTAGTCAATTTTCCAATGACATACATGTATACTTTGTAGAAAATACTCGGCGGGAGCGGTTGAGATCTAGTTTAGACTCTAAGCTGGCTAGAATAAAAAATGAAACATTTTTTCTTAAATTTAAGCTTTGTTCAAGCACTAAATTTGTACTTTTTTGTTTACATTTTTTTCTACTTTTTAAACTTTTTTATTAGTTCAACAGCTTTTTTGCTCTCAACCACTGGGTTTTCGATTTTTTAACAACTTTGTGCTTTTAATCAATGGAACAAAGTTTTTCTTAAAATACTGCTGGGTTTAAGATTTGAAATAATTTATTTGCTTTCAACCGCTGATTTTAAGTTTTTTTCATCACCTTTTTTTCTTTCAACCGTTGGGAGTTAAGTTTTTTCAGCAACTTTTTTCTTTAAACCGCTGGGTCTAAGATGTTCAACAAATGTTTTCTTTTAATCAATGGAAAAAGTTTTTCTTAAAATACTGCTGAGTTTAGATTTGAAATAATTTTTTTGTTTCTATTTCTGGGTATTAGATTTTTCAGCAACTTTGTAGCTTTCAACCGCTCGGTTTAAGTTTGTTCAGCAACTTTTTAGCCTTTCAACCGCTGGGTTTAAATCTTGTAAGCAATTTTTTTCAGCAACTTTTATTCTTTCAACCCCTAGGTTTAAGATTTTTTTTGCATTTTTTTAAGCTTTCAACCGCTGGTTTTAAGTTTTTTCCAGCAACTTTTTTTCTTTCAACCGCTGGGTTTAAGATGTTTAACAAAGTTTTGCTTTCAATCAAAGGGACAAAAGTTTTTCTTAAAATACTGCTGGTTTTAAGTTTGGAAATAATTTATTCTTTCAACCGCTGGTTTTAAGTTTAAGAGTAAGTTTTATGTTTTGAATTTTTCAACAAATTTTTGCTCATTCAACGTTTTCTTCAAAATATATATCATTCCCAATTTTCTATACATTTTATAGAATTGCTTCAGCCGTTTTTAAATTTATTGGATACAAACAGTTAGAGAATCCAAAAATGGGAAACATTCTGTAAATTGGATTATGAAGTGTAATTCGATACAATAATAAAGCCTATCAAACCTTTTTTCTATAACATTTCTTTGTCTCAGCATTCAGCAATTCAGCCATTCTCTGTCTTTTTTCAGAAATCTTATTCATCTTGCATAGCTGTCAAATATTTTTCGAGAAAAGGAATTACATCATGAACACGTGTTTATATACAACTATAACAAATGGAAAGTTTAGATAGGAACGCTGATCCTTTGAGCTGAACTGAGCTGCGCAAAACAAACCAAATGCCGCTAACAGATTCAAATCTAACGCGCACCCGGGTCCACTGCACGCCACTATAAAAGGAGCAAGTATACTCCGCTCTACAATACAGTCTATAAAGAGTTCAAATACAGTTTATATACACTCTACACTGCAGCAAGCAGACATGAATCACTTGGTAAGAATTGGATATTTACCATAAAATATATGTTTGTTTAAAGGCAGCACATATAATATATATTTAAAATATATATTTAAAGAGTGTCATAAGACATAATTTCAAGTGGTCCTACATTTAAAGAGTGTCATAAGACATAATTTCAAGTGGTCCTACATTTTATGTGTGTCATAAGACATAATTTCAAGGGGTCCTACATTTCATGAGTGTCATAAGACATAATTTCAAGTGGTCCTACATTTTATGTGTGTCATAAGACATAATTTCAAGTGGTCCTACATTTCATGTGTGTCAAAAGACATAATTTCAAGTGGTCCTACATTTCATGTGTGTCATAAGACATAATTTCAAGTGGTTCTACATATCATGAGTGTCATACGACATAACTTCAAGTGGTTCTACATTTCATGAGTGTCATAAGACATAATTTCAAGTGGTTCTACATTTCATGAGTGTCATAAGACATAATTTCAAGTGGTCCTACATTTTATGAGTGTCATAAGACACAATTTCAAGTGGTCCTACATTTCATGAGTGTCATAAGACATAATTCAAAGTGGTCCTACATTTCATGAGTGTCATATGACATAATTTCAAGTGGTCCTACATTTCATGTGTGTCATAAGACATAATTTCAAGTGGTTCTCTGGTTCTACATATAATTTCAAGTGGTTCTGCATATCATGAGTGTCATAAGACATAACTTCAAGTGATTCTACATTTCATGAGTGTCATAAGACATAACTTCAAGTGGTTATACAGTTTATGAGTGTCACAAGACATAATTTCAAGTGGTTCTACATTTCATGAGTGTCATAAGACATAATTTCAAGTGGTCCTACATTTCATGAGTGTCATAAGACAAAATTTCAAATGGTTCTACATTTGAAGAGTGTCATAAGACATAATTTTAAATGGTCCTACATTTGAAGAGTGTCATAAGACATAATTTCAAATGGTCCTACATTTGAAGAGTGTCATAAGACATAATTTCAAATGGTCCTACATTTGAAGAGTGTCATAAGACATAATTTCAAGTGTTTCTACATTAAATGAGTGTCATAAGACGTAATTTCAAGTAGAGGTCCTACACAGGGGCGGGCACAGGATTTAAGTGAGGCGGGTGGTAGATTTATTTCGGAACAAAATAATCCAGATTTAGGAACCATAAGACAGGCCGAAGGCGAAATTTTTTTGAAGCTATTCTAAAATCTGGGGGGGGGGGGGCAAATGCTGCATAGTGTTTCAAACATCTCATGTGTCTAAAAGTTCTCTCTCTTAACTGTCATGTTTTCTGTGAAACCCTGTAGTTACAGATGCAAAATACTTAGCAACATTCAATGTTTAAACAAAGGTTAGCACAAGGTTATAATGCAAGGAAAGTTAATTGCAGTTGCTTATACTCTGCGTACACATTGAAACCAGTTCTCTCTGGGTGGTATTTGTAAACAAGAAAAGATGCGTCAGTGTTCGTTTAGTATCCGAGGAGGTTAAAAGCATTAAATTTTGATAATTTTAATGATTCACATAATAGTTTCCAATGACCAGAATATTTCATTGATTGTTTATCTGAAAGATGATGGATCCCATGTCAGGCTTCGACATCCGTCTTGTATTTACATTACCGCCCAGGGAAAGTTCACTGTAGTACAAAAGATGCGTACACCTCTGAAATAATTTGTCTTGCATTATAACACAACAATAATTCTATTCATGTTTAAGCTCGTATTTAAATTATTCAGGTGTTTACCAGTGTTCTGGTCCTGGCAGTTGTAGCAGTGGCGGCCTCCGAGACCTTGAGTCCAGCTCGAGGCAGTGAGAAATCACTAAGTTTAATCCGTATTAGCAGAGATGTTGCACCAATAGTCAACCAGAAACGAAAGAATCCCATTCACTCTGGAATCCCTTTTTTCTTCAGTAACAGACCTTTTCAGAAACCCCGAGTTCGTTCAAAGGAAGGATCTTTTAGCTTGACCCGTGAAAGACGTGCTCTAAAGCCTGAGCCTAATGAAAAGCGCGAGAACCCCATTCACTCTGGAATCCCTTTTTTCTTCAGTAACAGACCTTTTCAGAAACCCCGAGTTCGTTCAAAGGAAGGATCTTTGAGCTTGTCCCGTGAAAGACGTGCTCTGAAGCCTGAGCCTAATGAAAAGCGCAAGAACCCCATTCACTCTGGAATCCCTTTTTTCTTCAGTAACAGACCTTTTCAGAAACCCCGCGTTCGCTCAAAGGAAGAATCTTTAGAGTTAACTTTTGAATAGTCCTAGCTGATCTTAGATGATAGACAAGTACAAGAACTCAAAGCTTTCGTGAATCCATTTAAAACAATATTATGATCTTTTAAACATCAAAGTTTGCACTAAGAATAAGTGTTCAAGTTTGTTTCAGATTGATGTGATCTAAAAGCTTTTAAAAGCTAAATAATCCCATAGATTCATGATTTTAAAATAAGAGCTTTATAGTGGAAACTAATTTTTGTTACAGATTACAAGTTTTGGAACAGATGATAAGTTATGTTACATATGACAAGTTTTGTTACAGATGACAAGTTTTGTTACAGATGACAAGTTTTGTTTCAGATGACAAGTTTTGTTACAGATGACAAGAAGATTACAAGATTTGTTACAGATGACAAGATTTGTTACAGATTACACGATTTGTTACAGATGACAAATTTGTTACAGATGATAAGTTTGTTACAGATGACAAGTTTTGTTACAGATGACAAGATTTGTTACAGATTACAAGATTTGTTACAGATGACAAATTTGTTACAGATTACAAGTTTGTTACAGATGACAAGTTTTGTAACAGATGACAAGTATTGACTTTCAAATCAAAAATTAGAGTCTGAAAGTTTTTTATTGTTATTGCATATTTAATTTATTCCTATCAAATATATTATTTCAAAAAAGTTTGATGTTTGATTTATTATTGAATACGTCTATAACACTAGTAAAATCTAAGGTTTTCAGATAAATTCAATTGTACACGAAATCTAACCTTTCAGGGTTCTCCCGAATTATTTAGTGTACAGGCTAAAAAGATAATTGAGTATCTAATTTTGCCCCTGTATCACTATATAAATTCTCGTCTAATAATTTCGTGTTCCCATTTTTCTAACAATTGCTCTTATAAACACCATTTAAAGGTTTAAACTGAACAAAAAAAACATAAGGTCGGATTCTACATAATTTGTTAAACCATGATATTCAATTATCTTTTAAGGCTTTACACCAAATAATTTATTCTCTTCATGAATCTGTTACCTAAGGTACCTGGGAGAACCCTAAAAGGTTAGATTTTTTGTACAATTAAATTAATCTTAAAAACCTACATTTTACTAACTTGAGGTAAATATGATATAATATCAGTTATGGATTTATTTTGTATTTGATTTTTGATTTTTTAAAAATTGAATTGAAGAAATTTTTCAGCAAATGTTCATCTTAAGCTTTCAGATATATACACAAATCTAATACCGCGTCATTTCTCACCAATCCTTAAATAATATGTAGTATCCTATCTGTTGCTTGCTGTTATAGCATAGCATTAACTTAGTTGGGAACCCTTGTATTGTGGATATCAAGATCAATGCTTGATCTAGATTTTTTGCTAATCTGCAGATTAATCTAATCTTAATTTGATATCCCGCATGGTAAAGGGAAAATATTAAGTATTGATCTTCAAAATAAAAGTGCCCAGAGCGGATACCGAGACCAATCGATCTGGATTAAGAGTATTCAGACAGCTCGAAAGTTCTCAGCTCTAGTTGCATTTAAGTGCGTATTTCTGCTAAAAGATGTTTCTGTTAAATTTGCATTTCCAGCAACCGGTTCCGCAGTGAATTTAACAGATTTTACTTCCGGTCAAAATATAAGAAAATATATTCAGATTTGATTATTATTATTTGGAATGCATAATTTCAACGAATTTTGTTACCTCCAGATTTGAGATTTTTGCTATATGCATGAAATTTGACAAAAATATTTAATTATTTGATTCAATTATTATTATTTGGAACATCGTCGACTAGTATACGGACGGCCTTTTGTCCTTAAAAGAAAGGTTGTAGTTATATATATGATGAGTAATTTGAATTACATGGTTACCCGCAAAAGATGAGACTTTATCGACGACCTAAAAACAGCGTCAAAAATATTGAATGTCTATAAAACATTCTTTTAATTGTATAAGATATGGTTATACAAAGAAATAAATACGGCGACAATTAAATACTTTAATTTAACTTTATAAATGATAAAATTGACGCTCTTGAAGTCAGCACTCCTTTNGGTAAAGAAAACACAACGCACTTCGAAATGCGCATTTAATATCTAGACCGTTCGTGCACAATTGTGCACTGCAATGCATTTGTGCAGGGGATGCACTTTTGCCTAATCATTTGTGAAATTTGAGCCATAAAAATATCCAATTTGAACACAAATCTTTTGACATTTAAAATGCAAGAATAGAAAAAATTGAAAATCAGTTTTTTTAAAAACTAAACAGAGTTTTGAACAAAAACATGGAAAAAATAAAATATAACATGGATACATAGTCACATATAACATGGATACACAGTCACATATAACATGGATACACAGTCACATATAACATGGATACACAGTCACATATAACATGGAAGTCGTTTAAATTAATTGTTTTAGGTTGGGAACTGGTTTAAACTAAATGTTCTAGTTTGGGAAGTGGCTTAAACTGAATATTCTAGTTTGGGAAGTGGTTTAAACTAAATACTCTAGGTTGGGAAGTGGTTTAAATTAAATGTTCTGGTTTGGGAAGTGGTTTAAACTAAATATTCTAGGATGGAAAGTGGTTTAAACTTAATATTCTAGGATAAGAAGTGGTTTAAACTAATTGTTCTGGTTTGGGAAGTGGTTTAAACTAAATATTCTAGGATGGGAAGTGGTTTAAACTAAATATTCTAGGATGGAAAGTGGTTTAAACTGAATATTCTAGTTTGGAAAGTGGTTTAAACTGAATATTCTAGGTTGGGAAGTGGTTTAAACTAAATATTCTAGGTTGGGAAGTGGTTTAAACTAAATATTCTAGGTTCGGAAGTGGTTTAAACTCAAAACTCTAGTTTGAGAAGTGGTTTAAACTGAATGTTCTGGGTTGGAAGTGTTTTAAACTGAATATTCTAGGAGGGAAGTGCAGTGGTTTAAACTAAATGTTTTAGTTTTGGAAGTGGTTTATGGAAAGTTTTTAAAGAATTTTCTCGGTTCAGGAGGGGCGTGGTTAGTAATCTACACAAAAAAGCAAAATTCTGCATCAGCTTGAAAATGTGATTTCTTTTATTTCAAATTGTATCAAGAAAAATTCAGAACTGGGGCAATATAGAGCATTTTTCATCCATTTTCGACGTGGTTGAGATGCATTTTAACCCTATAAATAACCGCTAGCTCAAAATTTCGAAACTTAACCGGTTAATAACAGGAGTCCATGGAGGAATGTTTGAATAAGTGGTCACTAAAATGTAATCAATTTATAGATCTAATCTTTTGGAGTCCTGAAATCATGTACGCACACGGCGCAACAGACGATTTGTTTTGTAATAAAAACTTTAAAAATAAAAGCATTATGTTTATTGTTTAACTTAAGATAAACGCATTAAAAAGATAAAAATGTTTTGAAATTTACGACTGCAATGCACTGTAGATGGATCGGAGGGTCGGATAAGGATCAGGTTTCCAGGTTGATTGCTAGGTTTGGGACAGAGGTAGGATTCAATTCTTTCAGCCAAGGTGGTTAAATATAGGGATAGTAAGCATGGATGAAATGTACCGTACCCTGAATTTGGTTTGTATCGTTCGTATCGTTTCAATTGTTAAAATTTCGTAATTAATTGATTGAATTGTTTAACTCTAACAGAAGCTGCAAACAAAACTGTAGGATTTGCGTGTGGATAATTGAACTACTATTACATACCTTAAATATATATCTTGGTTTTATGAAAAGAAACGGTTCTGTTATAGGCCACATTTTCAAACATAATCAATTCTAATCCTTTTTTGGGTTACGGTGTATTCATTTAGACATAGATTCGTATTTCATTAGTATTCACCAAACTTTTCTGATTGTTTTTCCGAAACGAATATGTTATGCGGCAACGCTAGAAACATTTCCTCTTAGATAATACTTTTTACAATGGTTTGCTTCCTTTTCTATGCTATGACAATACATTTGTGCATCTTACATTATAATACTTTTTACGGAAGAGAAGGAGAAAGTTAAAAACCATTGTATCATAGTCAAGTGTAAAGGTTTTTTGTTGATATATCTTATATTGTAAATGGTTTAACAGTTTAGTTCACCATTTTAGTTGTATCCTCTTTGGTACAGTCGATTAAACTGCTTGCTCTGTAGTTCTATATACTCTGTTAGAATAGATACAATATAAAAAAAACTTGATAAAAAACAATGGGAATGGTTTGAATCGGTATGCAAGGTGGAATTTTCAAGCATTATAACGAGTTCTACAGTTTACACGCTGCACTACATCATTTATTTACTAAATAATATAACGAACTTTAAAGATAGAAAATAAATCGGACCGCGGCCGGAGTATATCTAAGATCAGAAAATGCCAAAAATGCTATATGTTTTTATGCGGTGTGTTCCAAAAAACAATTAAGTGACGACTTCTTTATCGTCTCTTCCGTTATTATTACGTAAACATGTAATTTTATAAAGTTAAAAAAAGTAATAATTTAATTTTTAGTTAAGAGAGTTAAAATAATTTCAGCTACCTGAGTCTAAAACTAAAGAATGCGCGAATTTCAAGTTTGAGGTTAAAAGTTCTGTAAAATAATGAGTGGCTACTTAAATATTAAACTTTCTCAATTTTTAATTTGAATTTCCTGGGAAAAATTTTACCCAATCATAAAAAAGGATTTACGGAGAATATTGCGTAACCATCGCTAATCAGTTGCTTTAGTTAATTTTAAAATATTTACGTAACCGAAAACAAAACATATTTCCAGTTACAACCGTATTTTGGGTTTACGTGCAAACATTTATTAATCTAAAACGTGAAATTTATTAAATCAAGGTTTTTACTTTTAAATATATCGTAATTAGTTAAATTTGCCACTTATCGCTGAATGATGATAGACAAATAGGGATTGCGGGATTTCAAGATTTTAACCCTGTGTTTAAATTTAACTCGTCGATTTCGGCGAGTTAATTTAACCACAGGTTTAAATATTTAACCTCACGGTTAAAGTTCGGATTTAAATTGTCAGAAGTGGCATTTTACCATGAACTTAAAATTTAAGTAAAAACTTTTCGTTCTTTAGTTTTAGACTCATGTGCTTGGAATTCCAAAATGTTATTTACCATTTCTACACCTTCAAAACGGACGGAGAGATATTAAGAAATTTGTCCAGATTTTAATTTATTAATTACCAACAAAATCGTTCAAATGTTTAATATCTCTGTCAATTTTGAACACACAAAGAAGACAGACCACATTTAGAAAAGCTCATAAGCCGTACACTCTTTATTGAGATATACTTTTTTTGAACTATTGGAATTCAAAGACGATTTTCAAGTAGTCTCTTGATTCCCATGTTTATTGGGACATTTACAAAATATACTCTCTAAACCGGATAATACTGGTATTCTATCCCCAGATTGACCCCCCCCCCCGTAACTACTTAGCCTGCATTACAAGAGTAGCCGCAAGATATAAATTTAATCCTTTATCCGATGTTATCAGTTCCAACCACTTTTTTGCAAATAATTTAACTGATAACTTTAGTAGAGCAAGGAAAATGTCGGGATCGAGGGGGGCTGCACTCACATTCAGGGAAAAATTAACACGCACACTGTCTCGATGATTATTACATACTAGCTGAAGTGGCCGGCGTTGCCCATGTAAGTGTAAAAAATCGAATTTTTAAGAAAAAATCGTCGATAAGTATTACGCAGAGAAAAGTGTTTCCCAATATACAAGAGGGGTTAGTGAAGACAAGTTGATTGATTGTATTTTCTACCGCCTAAGATACTTAAATTTCAAATTTATAACTGTGGCAACGCTTAAACATTTCAGTCTTGAAAACCACATTTTGTAAAATCCATGAGTATGGGTTATGGAACTGTAAATTTCAAGAATGCTTCCTCTAAATTTACCTTAAATACCGAATATTAAAACTTGAAACCTTAGTATTATTGTCTAACTAAAGGTTACTAGTTCATTCCATCGGAATAGTTGTAGTTAAAAGTTTCTTAGTTCGAATTTACAAGTTGTTCACTAACTTTGCTAAACGTAGAATTTATTTAGATTGATTGAGGCTTTTTGTTAAAAAATCAAACTTCATTGATAGATGGAATATGTGCTCATTTAAAATTTATAGGAAATGTTTATTTTTCAAACAAATATAATTTCAAATACTAGATTATATTCTGGATAAAATATAGATTAATCTATTTTCCAGCAGTAGCCGCAGCAAGACGAGCAGCAACATCATTCCAGTTAGCAATCTAGTACATCAACAATCAGTAATCAATAATAATTATTCAAAATTTATATTAGAAAGTGTATCTTGATTTCTTAAAAACACACCAGACCCAGCAGACCAATATTTGCACGCTATCAAGAAAAATTTCGAGCAGTATTTTTCCAATAACTCTTTTCAAACTTAAGCTAAAAACAAGCGTGTTGCATTTTAAAAATGTGTTTCCTAGGGCTACAAAAATGTAGGTAAGTTGGTGATGTAAAACCAAAGGCCAATGTGTTGGCTGTCTAAAACGTAGATAACTTACTTGGGTTCTTCAAAGAGATTGACAAACAGAAACTTTATTAAATTTACCTGATAAATAGCTTTCACATAATCAGGGCGAACATTCTTATATTGAAGATAGTATGCGTGCTCCCAAACATCTATTCCTAAATATTAAATAGTTTATCATCCTTTATGCTCGCAAGTATTTAGGGGGAGCTGATGGGTCAAGTGACTTTCCGACTTAATTTCTAAAATGATTTTGAATTAATAAATAAGTCAAATCATGCTAATTTTTAAGTCTTGAGAGTTGAAATTAATTACATGTAGATTGATTAGAATAAGCATGGATCCATATTAATATATTATCTTACCAAAGAGTGGAACTAAACCAGTAGTAGCTTCTAGAGGATCCTGGTTAGCACAGGTAGCAATCTCAAGCTTTCCAGCAGTCTTGTTATACCCTAGCCAACCCCAACCAGATCCCTAGTTATATATATATATACTTGATATACCCTAGCCAACCCCAATCAGATCCCTAGAAATATATATACTTGATATACCCTAGCCAACCCCAACCAGATCCCTAGATATATATATATATACTTGTTATACCCTAGCCAACCCCAACCAGATCCCTAAAGATATATATATATATACTTGATATACCCTAGCCAACCCCAACCAGATCCCTAGATATATATACTTGTTATACCCTAGCTAACCCCAACCAGATCCCTAGATATATATACTTGTTATAACCTAGCCATCCCCAACCAGATCCCTAGATATATATATACACTTGTTATACCCTAGCCAACCCCAACCAGATCCCTAGATACATATATATACTTGTTATAACCTAGCCAACCCCAACCAGATCCCTAGATATATATATACACTTGTTATACCCTAGCCAACCCCAACCAGATCCCTAGATAAATATATATACTTGTTATAACCTAGCCAACCCCAACCAGATCCCTAGATATATATATACACTTGTTATACCCTAGCCAACCCCAACCAGATCCCTCAGTATATATATATACTTGATATACCCTAGCCAACCCCAACAAGATCCCTAGATATATATATACTTGTTATACCCTAGCCAACCCCAACCAGATCCCTAGATATATATATATACTTGATATACCCTAGCCAACCCCAACCAGATCCCTAGATATATATATACTTGTTATACCCTAGCCAACCCCAACCAGATCCCTAAAACCTAGCTGACCCCAACCAGATCCGTAGGTGAATAATATACTTGTTATATCCTTAAATATATATACATGTTATACCCTAGATAACCCCAACCATCCATAATCCATATACATAATTATTTATGATCTATAAAATATGTTATTAATTACCTGTACAGCTACAGTTGAAGATGAGAGTTTATCCTTCATAGCTTGAATACTACCGAAATCTCTATTAATGGCTGCAGCCAGATCTCCTGTAGGTTCACCGCTACCTCCAGGGCAAAGGTTCTAAAAATAATGTTTGGAGCAGTGCTTAGGATCCGGATCCGTTGGATCCGCTACACATTTACCTCCTGGATCCGAATCCGCTAAAATAAGCGGATCTAAGGGGCAAAATATCAACCAACGCCGGCTATAAAATATTTATGCCCTCAAAACATAAATCTTAACTATATTCATTATTCACTATTAAGAGAAAAATAAAAACGTCCCTATCTCAATATAAAAAACACACCAGAGTGAAACATACAATATAATAAATTCTGATCTAACCTGCCAGAAGATTGAATGGTTAAGATGTCCTCCTCCATTGAACTTTAAAGCTCCGTGTAAACCAATGACAGCCGATACATCATCTATAAAGGACAAATCTAACAAGTAATAATTTAAATTTGACCTCAGACTGTAAAAACAAAAAATATTTGACAAAAGGTGCAGATTTTTGAATAATCTGACAGAGGCAACCCTTAATCTGTTTAACAATCAAGTAAATATTTTGTTGTTCTTTGAATACCTTGAAAATTAATGCCGTTTTTTACTATAATCTATTTAAATACTATAAACTCAAACTTACTTTTAGCAACAGCATCAGCTAACTTCTCCTCAACAACATTTAGGTTAGTTACATATGTAGCATGATGCTTGCTGTGATGAATCTAATAATATATAAAATCTACTTATTTGAATAAATAAATGTAAAAACATGATAATATTGCTTAATTTGATATATATATACATTATACACTGTATATTTTTGTACCTGCATGATTTCAGCAGAGATGACCGGCTCTAGCGCATTGTAATCGTATGGCAGGTCGGGCAGTTTGTGCATTTGCCTAAATTAAAATTTGTATAGAGCAAGATATTTTGCAGAACACTGGAAAAATCTAAAAAAATCTAGAAAAATGTAGAAAAATCTAGTTTTCTACCTGGTTCCAGCTACAGCAAGACTAGACAGATTCCCAGACCTAGTCATCAAATTCTTAACAGCAAACATTTTATCTGAAAATAGTTAATGATATCTAGATGCTAAATTTGCCAAAAACAAGTTCAATTTTGACTATTAGCTCACTATAGTTTATCTACCTTTAACAAGAAATTTCTTCAAACTAAATTTAACAAAAAAAAAATAAAAAAATGAACAGTTAAATTTCTATAGGATTTCTTCCTGCAACAGAAGGGCAGATTCTGTTTTTACCGCTTGGCGGAAAAATAAAAAATGAAACGTTAACAAGTTTGTGTGTGAGTAAGCAGTATGCAAGCTGCTAAGGGTTGAGACTAGGATATTCTATGTGCGGTCTTCGGAAGCTTGATGGAGCCCGTCTCAGGACAGAAAACCTAAAATATTCAATATTAGACTAAATTGATTAGTATACAATGTCTAATACAAGAACCAGCAATAAGAAAAATTCCATACGAATTTTTTGTAAGTTTAAGAGGAATTAATAAGCTTTACAAGAAAATTTCTTTTCTGAAAACACCCGACTTTCTCAAGTGACTCGAACTAAATATTTTAAATTTTACATTGAACACGAATCCCAGCAATTGTGAAGTATATACACACTACACACTACAAATTTCACCAAATAAGTGTTACTGGTTCAATTGTACTATGGTATACTGTGTTAAGTACCTGATGTACTGAGTTCTGATAAAGGTACTTGATTAGAATATATTTATCATCCTCTGGAGCAGGATCCCATACCCCAGGCAGGTTACATTTACTACCCTCCTAAATATTCAATTTATCATATTAAAATATCATAATAATTATTTAATTCTTTCTTAAAAAATATATCATGTCAAATTATATTTTCTGAAAAGAAACTGCATTATTTCAGATTGATTATAAAAAATAAATGTATATTTCAGTTTAAGATGGATTCCATTAGATACAGATGATCTGCTATACAGATGAAATGACCTAGCTTAAGCATGGTAAATGTTTATTGTATACTGTCAATGTATGATGATACATTTGAAATAAAAAACTTACCCATAGAATGAGTCTTGAATCTTCAACAGTACACTGTAGAGGGACAGTTATATCAATAAAACTAAAACCAATCAAATGTTAGAAATCAGAGGAATATTCTATGAAAATAAACTTTAAAAAAATATTTTTTGTCAATATTTATAAGGTAAAGGAGGATAGTATACCCCTACTAATATATTTACCTTGAGTTCTCTTCACTATTATTATCAATATTTTTAAACTCTGGTTTTAGTTCTCCTCCATCTGTTGCCTGAACAAACAAGACTATCATTAAACAGAAGGTTTATATTATTAAACCAACTATTTACCAGGAGTCCGTAGGCAGCGTAAAGAATAACCAGTCCACCCTTATCCTCCTCCTCTTTAGAAATCCTAGGAAACATATATTAAAAAAAGGAAGACGACATTGTATATTGTCATCCTTGCAGATTCTGGCAGCCCAACTCTTGTCAACACGATAATGACTAAAGTGGTAAACTGGAGGACGTCTCTGATTGTGAACGTATTAAAGAATATATATAATCTATACCTTTACTCTGATAGAAAATGATCAAATATGTGGCGATTTAGAAAAATAAGAAGACGACATTGTAACCTGTCATCTATTTAGATCTATTACTTAACTTAGGAAATTAAATGACGAAATCAATTTAGTAAATACTTGACGTGTTTGTTTGTTTGAATGGCTATTACAAATTTTAAAAGGCTGCATTAAAAAATTTCAATATTTTCAAAAACCACGAAAAAAATCGGCAAATCTGCGATTCATTTATTGTTTGATAATAAAAAATTGAATTGCCGCATATTAAGTAACAATTAAAAAATTAGAAAATGACAGTTACGATATTGTTATATATACCGTTTATATCTCTCTGCCATGAGACTGGAGGATGCTAGTGCCTCCCTACGGGCCTCAGACACTTTCTCCTTGTTCAACTCACTTCGCCTTTCTCTCTCCTTAAGTATTAAATTAAATAATATCAGTAATAATCTTAGAATACTAAATACTTATGTAGAAACGGAATTGAGTCTTTGCCACAAACTCTCCACTAATCCATTTATCTCTTCAACCTTATTACACCTGTCATCTTTGAATTTTCAAATTTAGATTATTTGATCTAACAGAATTCTTAGTTTGAAATATGACATTAGGTTGCAAAGATAATGGGATTAGAAAATCAGAGTTTTTAGCAAAACTCAATTCCTTTATACAGATAAAACAAGTGAGTTGGTTCAGTTGAGATACAAGTCCTTTCCAGTTCCTGGTGCTTAAGCTCAACTAACTTCGGGTTTTTTGATATTAGAAGTTCCCAGCCACAAGACCAAGATTTTGATATTCAAAGTTCCCAGCCACAAGACCAAGTTTTTGATATTCAAAGTTCCCAGCTACAAGACCATGTTTTTGATATTCAAAGTTCCCAGTAACAAGATCAAGTTTTTGATATTCAAAGTTCCCAGCCACAAGACCAAGTTTTTGATATTCAAAGTTCCCAGCCACAAGACCTAGTTTTTGATATTCAAAGTTCCCAACCACAAGACCAAGTTTTTGATATTCAAAGTTCCCAGCCACAAGACCAAGTTTTTGGTATTCAAAGTTCCCAGCCACAAGACCAAGTTTTTGATATTCAAAGTTCCCAGTCACAAGACCAAGTTTTTGATATTCAAAGTTCCCAGCCACAAGACCAAGATTTTGATATTCAAAGTTTCCAGTCACAAGACCAAGTTTTTGATATTCAAAGTTCCCAGCCACAAGACCAAGTTTTTGATATTCAAAGTTTCCAGTCACAAGACCAAGTTTTTGATATTCAAAGTTCTCAGCCACAAGACCAAGTTTTTGATATTAAGACCAAGTTTTAGCTAATTGTTTAAAGTATAAATATTAAATATATGAAAAAACTGCCACTCTTGTCATATTTATATAAAATCAGTATCCAATTATAAACTGATAATTATAAATATTTGGATATACCTTCTCCTTTCTACTGCTCTCATAGGGGTCGAGGATCAACTTCTTAACAGTAAACCAGGCGAGCAGGGGGACAACAGTTCCTTAATAATATTAGAATACGATTTACTAACTAAAAATAGAATAAAACAAGCGATGTAATTAATGAATGTTGTTACCTAACATTAGAATACAACTAACTAATTAACAGTAGAGTATAAATAACTAAAAAACAAAATAATATATCTAAATAACTGAAGAACATAACTAACTGTAGAAAATAACAATCTAACTAATGGAAGAACATAACTAGCTAACTATCTGTAGAATACAACTGCTAACTAGCCACGCAGCAGTAGAATATAACTATCTAACAAACTGTAAAAAATAACCATTAAACCAAAAGTAAAATACAACTAGATAACGAACTATAAAATAAAGCTAGCTCACTAACCGTAGAATACAACTAGCTAATTAGCTAAGGTAGATTATACCTTTGTAGCTTGAGTAGAATATAACTATCTAACAGTAGAATGTAGAGTATACACAACTATCTGTATAATATAACTTACAATCAGAGGAGGAATGAAACTAACCATAGAAGATGGGTTGCAAGATAACCTCGTCTGAGAGATGGAAGGGGAAGAGGTAGGTCTGTGAAGCTCGAACCAACTTTATTCGTACCGTTACACCAACAGGAAACCCTGGAACATTAACAATCAAATACTCAAAAATTGTCGTTAAAGAGACTGTAAGCGTAATTTCAAGTGAACCTTTGTGCAAAAATGGCAATGCCCAAACTTACAACGGTAAACTTGAATACCTTAATCTGAACAAAAAATGTGAAAGATACCGTCGTTTTAGACGCGAAAAGTGTTTATTTCTCCGAAGTTTCTCCGTTACTGCTTACAAGCAAGAAATGCGCGAGTCACTGTCGGTGAGGAACCGAAAATTAAAATAAACAGTTTAAAGAAACAAAAAGAGACAACGCTTTCAAGGGTAAATGGTCACTCGAAATTACGCTTTCAATCCCTTTAAAAATTAGAAAACAAATTTCAAATTTGTTTTTCAAGGTAACCAACAGAAAACCCATATAATTAAAAAATCTAAAATTGTATTTAAATTACTTTTTACTTTGTTTCAATAAATGAATTTGAGCGTTAAAGAATTAAATGAAAATAGGCTAAGTTATACAATATACCCTAAACAATAACCTATAAATGTAAATTGTCAAAACTGGCAAAAAAAAGGTTTCACTCTCACAGGTAGAAAAACTCGGGTTTGGAAATTAATTTCGATATATTTCATATCCTCATCAGTCCTACTGAAAATGACCAAAATTATTACAAATTAAAAATAAAGATAAAAAAGTAAGCAACTTAGGGGAGGAGGATTTTTTTAAAGTGGAATGGAAAAAAAAAATTGAAAAGTGTAAAAATTATGGTCAACCTTAAAGAATGGTGGTATTGTCAAAACTGAAAGAAATGTTCATTGAAATAAGGGTTGGGGGATGGGTGGTGGGGGGAAAGGGTTTAGGAGAATAGGTTGACCGACACAAATACGAAAATAATTTGAATATCAATACCTATAACAATGTCATATCAACTCTTTAAAAAACGTGTCTGCGAGCGCACAAGGCTAAACGTCCAATGTTAAAAGTATATTTGATAGATTTATCTGAAGATGGAAGACCATGGTTTGAACTATTATTAATGATATTTAACCCCTCGCTCTTACAAAGAACCGTATTCAAGCAATCTATCAAAACTCATCTTTTTAACCTTGAAATTCTCCTAATTAGGAAGTAATTTGTTTTAGGAAACTATTTTGATCTTGACACCTTCCGTAACGTGAGCGGGTTGCCCCCCTCCCCTCTTTACCTACGACCATTGTTGCGCCCAGAGTTGAGTGTTCCGTTATCCTCTCTTCTACTCCGTACTCGAGTATAGCACCAAAAGTTCCGACCTAAAAAAATAGAAAATTTGAACTATTTCTTATAAATAATTATAAGATTAGCTATACCTAGGAAGTTCGGCGAAATATGTGTGTACCCCATTCTAATTCAGAGACGACGACTGGGTGAATCTCAATTTTGCGGATTTATCAAAAATATTTTGCGGATTTTCATTTTTTTCTATCCTCTAAATTTCCGGGTTTTCATGATAAATTACATTTTGAATTCAGATAATAACAATTACATGTTAGTAACTTTAAATCAAATTAATTGATTAATTTTAGTTTCAAGATATGATATCTTTCTCTAGTATCCATCATCTATAGCAATCCATCTCTGTAACTAACAATTCATAAATTAATCCGTCAACCTTCAATTTCGGACAGAACATCAATCTTCGAATCATTCACTCTGAATTTCAAATCTCGTACACNCACCCCCTAAAAAAAGGGCGTATACGCCGTTTCCCCCCCCATTTAATTATTTGCGGCCGTCTAGATAAATACAGGGGTGTTTATCTCCAAACACTAACTTCCTAATCCTTGGGATTTAATTATTACGTCATAATTAAAATATAATTAGTCTGGGGTTTAGCATTCTCACGGTGTAATTAGCTGGATAAATGACTGCCATGATTTATGATGAAATCAAGATACTGCGAGAGAATCAGAATACGAGGAGTAATGGAGGAAAAAAATAAAAGTAGAAAATCGTACTTTTTAAAACTTTATTAAAACAATAGTTCATAATTTTGAACCTGACACTCTAAGGTTTTGTAACAATTGTTCTTCTTAATTTATTTTGAATTGTTACATTTGTAAAAATCTTCTGCACCCCCGCCCCAACACTCTCCCGCGATAATTTAATGTGCAATTATGATTGCAAGATAGTGGATTAGGACAGAATATTTAACCCTTCTATTGTTCTTTAAACATATTAGAAATCTACAAGACGAAAAGTGCCTGGACAGTTTTCTTTAATGGTGTGGTTAACATAAAAATACTTAATTGGAAAAAATCTTATATATTTCCATAGGCGGTTTCAGGGGGGGGGGGNTTAGTATTCTGCTAAAATTGGCATTTAGGTTAAACAAATCAGAAATATCAAATCGGTTTTATTCCACTTCCTTTTCTAATATGCTGAATTTAAACTTTAATATTTTTTTTCCCCCCCCCCCCTTATCTTAAATCCTGAAACCGCCCCTGTATGTTCTCTTTTAGAGGGACGTTAAGTTTAATTTCAATTGATTCGTCACAACGGTGCCATAGAAACTTATTTCTGATCAATATGTGAAAGATATTGTCATTTTACTAGGATTAAACGTTCTTATTAATAATAAATCCTTAAACTTTAGAATGAGATATCCTTAATCCCGATTACTTAATCTGAGTATCCAATTGACACACTTTTGATTTTCTTCTTACTTCTCTCTTTTTGGATAAAAGTTACTTTTGATAACAATTACAGACACGATGCTATATCGATTGGACTAATATCCGATTGAACTATAGTCAGCAGTTAACAACTTCACAAGCGGGCTTTTAGGGCAATTTAAACAAATATAAACTTAATCATGTTAATATGAACTTATTAAAAATCATATTTTATCACATTTGAGGACTACATTCATTTTGAACGTTAGTCTTAATAAACATTAATCCAAAACTTACGTTCGTTCAATCAATCTTTAGTTCAATTGATGACACCATCAACACCAGAAATGAGCAAAAATTAAAAACCGGTTTTTCCAAAGTTAAAGAGCGCATCCTATCATGAAACGCTGATTGGTTGAATTTTAAACTTCTTTCTTGGATATCGAATGTGTATTAACCTAATCTTGGGTTTAATAAAACCAAGAGATCAAGCATTGATCTCGATATCCACCATTCTAAAGTTTTCAGCTCTGTATATATTTTTCTGCAATAGAATTTTGCAGACAAAACTTTCAGTCGTGTGTTGTTATGAATCGGGCATTGACATCTTTAAGTGGAGGGTCACTTGAAATTACGCTCACAGTCCCTTAAGCCTACTGAAACTAGTTGTGAACAAATAATTATCCCAAATCTAAGTTACACGTAAAGTTTTTTTGTTGAGAATAAAAAAAGATTAATATATTGAAGCTTGGGTATACATTTCGAAGAAGCAGGGTGGGGGTCCCAGTAAGAAATATAAAGAATTTGGGAGAAAAAATGAAGTTAATTTCAGCCGACAGTTTCAGATTCGTTTATACAAAAAAATAATTGTTTCTTACTCTAAAAATTATTTAATTTCAACAATGAAACATTACAAATACACTAAAAATCTCTCTGACATAGGCAAGGGAGGGGGGGGGGGAGGGGTAGGACCCTTGAAGATGAAGTATATGTTTAGGACAGCAGATGTGAGAGAATTCATTACTGAACCATCTTAATTATTAAGAAATGATTATACAGAATCCAAACATGGCATCATGTAGACATTCTCAATAAAAAAAGATGATTTGGGGGAAAACCATTTAAAATAATTTGTCTAACATGACTTAGTTCAATCAGTATTTTTTGGGTTCCACTTTTTAAATTCAAGCAAGAATAAATCTCAGTTTATAGTATGAAATCTTACATTTTCAACTAAACAATTTAACTTGATTAAAATGATTTAAAAATTTTTTTTTTAATAAAATGTGTGAAATATTGAGAGCTCCTCCCCCAGCCCTCTCGTTTAAGATATATGTATATATTACTGAGTGAAGGGGGGAGGGGGGTGGAGGGAATGCAGCACCCACCAAATTAAGAAAAGCTCCACCGAATTTGTAAGAATCATCTACAAGAACAATTCTCTCCCACCCCATCATTAACTTAATCTCATTTGTCAGTGGGAAGTCAAGGAGATATGGGGGGGGG